CCTCTGTGCACATGTGGTAGTTTCAATATGTAAATGGAGTTCTACTATGCTCTAGCAGTTTTAATTTGATAGTTAAATATTTAAATGTTTCTATATCTTTTTAATTTGCACTCAGTCAGTCTTTGCTCCTTTCTTTTTATCTTTTGTTTAGTGCAGGCAGATGTGATGTACCATCTGCACTCGAATGTGTTGCTTTTTATTTATTCCGTCTCGTATTTCTTGAACAACAGCGTGAAAACATATTTTTAGGAGTCATCAGTTGAGATGCGCTCAAGATTAACGACCATAGTTTCAAAATTGCACATCACCTATAGCTAACTTCCGCTTGTCCATCTTTGATTCTGCAGAACATTTGTGACTTTTTTTGTAGGGCTGTTTCTAGAAATGTAAGTTTGTAGGGTTTTGATTTGAAAAAAGGTGCTTGTGAACTGTATTAGAATCTTTGGTTAACTTAAATGGTTTACTCTTCATGACGCTTTGGAACTGGAAAATGGCGAAAAGTTGACCTAGCACTGCTCAGTTTGAAAGTTGTAAGATCATGATTCGGTAATAGGTGCAACAATCCCGTCGTGTTCTATAGAGAAGTCTGTGATTTTGATCTCTTACTTTGTTTCGTCCCCAACAAGTAATAACCGAACCAAAGGGATAACCGACATACAGCAAGTTGAACTATTTGGGGCGAATCTTAGCGAAAAGTTATAAATTTCTGAACAGCTAATGTGACTGCTAATTGGGCGTTTTATAGTATGTGCGTTCTATTTGCAGATAATTAATTTTTGCATTTATTGAGCTTCATTTCAGCCGACAAATCGATCTCATTTGTTTGCACCGCATCTGTATTAGGATACTGTCTACTTCCAATGGCTCTGCTCAGTTTGATCACAGCTGTTCTTTCTTTCAAGGTAAGATCATTTACGCGGTTCTTGGCTCTTCAGTCTTCATAACAAGCAATAGAAAAAAAAAACCTAATTTCTTTGCATATAACATCAAGTAACTACTAGTTCCCATATGGAAC